TATCTTCAGCAGGGTCGAAAATTAATGACGATTTTATTTCTTATTAGCATTTAAAACTTTTTATAAAACTCGTCTCTTCTTTCAAAATGAAGGTTTTTGTCATTTTGTATAACAGTTAAAATATAAAACTTGTTTAATGAAGTATTATAACAGATGGCATCACCATAATTATAAATGTTGCCTGAAAAGTTGAGCAACTCAATGCTGGTTTATTTTGAAATGTTTATTCCGTTTATNACACCAAACACTTGCTGAGCTTATTATTAATTTACTAATCAAACGTTTTCAGCCTACTTCTAATAGGCCATCCTCAAGAAATTACTGTTCTACTATCGAATACAAAGCTTTCGAACGTTCGAAAGCTTTGTATTCGATAGTAGAACAGTAATTTCTTGATTATATTTGTGATTATATTTGAAAATACATAATTTTACATACGTAAAAATGATTGGGATGCAAGTTTTTATTTTCATTTATTTATAAAATCATGCGCCTTATGTTTTAAATCGAAAGTTCGTTTAAAGTTAATCTGGGTTTTTCACCATTAAGCTCTCCATGTCTAGTATCGATTTTGGTCTATTTGACTTTGTTTTCGAGATTACGGAAGGACAGCCAGATAAAACTGCAAATGTATAAGTAGATAATTTGAAATTTTTATCACAAAAAATAAATTTAAAATTTTAGAATTAGGTCTTCCTGTTTCCAGACTAATTAGAAATTTTTTAGATGGGTGTAAAAATATGTTGGATTTCCCGTAAAAACTCAAAAAACCGCATCTGCGCCTGTAAATCTTGCATGTCGTTTTTTATTGACACTTTCATTGTTACTTAATGTCCAACCTGTGGCTCGCGACTTTATGCGAATCTAGTAGAGTTTTATTGCGGCTCCCATATACTTATACAAATTATTTATATAAACTTTATAAATATCACAGTATTTACACAGATATAATATTTATGGAAGTTTTCTTGCTATGATGTCATGTAATATGCACAGAGATTGTAAGTGTAATTTGCAGTGTAACTTCGAAGAGGCGAATTGAACCTTATGTTACATTCATAAAGATATAGACGTTTACCTAGTAAGTCATGAAGTACTGGTATAGTGAAAGTGATATTTAATATATTAAATGATAACTACTCTATTTCATCTATAAGCAATAGAAGTAAACGATATTGCTCTTTAATACTCATTCCAACAATAATTGTGGTTCTCGTATATTTCTGATAGATAGTGTATGGCTCTTCAAAAGGTTTGGCCATTCTTAGTCAAACCTTTTCATGCCTTGTAAGCAACTAAAACCATTTGCCCACTGAGTAGCTGGTGTGCAAAATAAAGTTTCTTAAACAAGGATACATTTTTATCGTTCTCTGCAATTAATGATCTGTCGAAAATATATATATCAGTAACAATGTAAGATTCAGAAACTCTTAAGTAAACTACAAAGTTTGCCTTACACGTGGATTTACTATAGAAAGTTGGTGTTAGAGCAGGAAAACTCCAGCTCATTGATGAGGCGCGAACTGTTTAATAGTTTTATACTTATATTAACAATGAAACATCTTTTCAGTTGAAAGTGATCTGTTAGAATTAAGTTATAAATATCTCGGAGTATTTAAATTGTATAAATTAGTTACCAGATCTGGTAAATAATTTACTTTTACATGGTTTCGTCTCTTCTCTTACTTAAGAAAAAAAGTTTTATAATTGTTGTTGTAATTCATAGTAAAAAATTAAACTATGTTTGTTTATTTAATGAAATAAACAATATAAAAGAATCCATACGTAAAATATCCAAATTTATATTTTAATTTCTACTCAAAAAAACAAATTAGTTTTATCNCTTACTTAAGAAAAAAGTTTTATAATTGTTGTTGTAATTCATAGTAAAATATTAAACTATGTGTGTTTATTTAATGAAATAAACAATATAAAAGAATCCATACGTAAAATATCCAAATTTATATTTTAATTTCTACTCAAAGAAACAAATTAGTTTTATCAAACAAAGTACATGATGCGAAAAATGAATTACAGTTACATTGATATTAATCGCATATAAATACTTATATAACAATGAATAATTAATTTATTTAGTTCTTATTTTTGTCACGTAAACAAGAAGAAATGTTCCTGATAATATATTCTGCATATTATTGTATTTATGTCCCATGTTATATATATTTAACATTCCTGACTTACTTTATCTATTGTTTGAAGTTGGCATTCATTTTTTTGTATTGAGGTTACGTTAGAATTTCTTTCGTAAAATAAACCTTTAACTACAGCATTAAAAGGAGCTTCCAGGAATAAGTAGAAAACAAAAGATGCAATTATGGAAATAAACAACAAAAATATAAACGCCATCCACTGTAAAAGAAAAATAAATTATATTCAATAATGAATTAGAATATTATTTTAAATTAAATATAATACTGTACTATCAATTTATTTTTTATATAACGGTAAAATTAATGGTAAAGTACTCTTACTTTAAGTTAAAGATAATGATTGGGGTATTAAACTTATTAAGTAATTTAATATAAGTTACTTCCGAATTACAGCTCTAAAATAGTAAAATTTATTTTTATTTGTCTTAAGTCATAAAACAGAAAACTTCAGTATAACATTATTTTTGAATACAGTATAAACTGCCAGAAGGGTACAGTTGGAAAGAGGATGGAAAAATTACTTTGAAAGTGGTGTTGTGTTTAAGACTTACAACATTACGTAGTAAAAGTTGTAGAGATAATTATTTGCTGTACGTATAAACTAACGATTGGAACATTCGCCTAATAACGGATTAGTAGTCCACCTGCAATTTTATCTAAACCCATACCTGTTCAAACAGTTTTGTTAGTTGGTGTGCATTTCATGGTGGAATGGGTAAGAAACTCAGCCCATGTTTTAGCATATATTAATTAATAATGTTCACATCTGAGTACATTCTTGTAAGATGGGCAAGACAATATGCGGAATTCATTGTCGTATTCCTCCAATCATTCCCGAATGAGCCTTGCCCGGTTACACGGTGCATTATTATTTTCAAACATGTCACTATTGTCAGAAAACTTTGGTGATCATGTGCACATGTTAGTCTGGAGATACACACCCTAGACTAACAGGTCTCTGTATCTTTTACCATTCAAAGATTGTGGTATCACGAATAGTAACTCACTGGTCGTCATCCTATAATCTATGAATAGGCTAGGATCACTGACAGTGACCTACCCCTGGTCAAAAGAGCCTTCCCCAGGCTATTATACTATAATCAATAGCTTATGTAACCTCAACTGTGCAAGCAACATATGTGGCTTGATGTGGATTACATCAGATTCGGATCTAGCCTTCGGTGTGATTCCGCAAGGAACTCAACTCGTAACTCCTGGTAAGCTTCTTCCATATGTCCAAGGTCTAATGCTATTTTTTTCTTGTTTACACGAGGCGTTGTTTGAAATGACACTTCATCAACAGATGCACTCTTTCCGTTAAGTGACTATTGAAATCCAGTCGATACAAGTATATTGCATTGTCATTGTCTTATCCGCTGTTGTACTGGCTTGTAAGTTATTCTACTGTACTTCATCTGTGTTTAGTTACCAGTCCTAACATACGATACTCACCTTCAGGATGAATCACACATGCCAGCCGGTATATCATCTTCGAGAGGATGTTTGTGCATGATCCATGTATTTGCAGTCAAAGTCGCTGAAGTCACCCGGTTTGCACATGGCTGGCAAATATTGTCTTCAAGTATGAAAAAAGGTCAACACGTCATGACTGCAAAGTTGCAAAGTAGAATTAGAGGACACCATTTTATCATTATTATCACACCATATAATGGAAATAGTGCTGGCGTAGTGTTCCTAAAGCAGTGTTAGTTCAGTGTATATCAAATACCTGAGAATAGGTATATTATAAAATTAGAAGGAAAGACTTATGTAATATATTATCTGACTTTTAGAGATAGGTTTCTTTTGTGCAGTTTACCAGAGATTCACAGATGAAAACCAATCTTAACAATAAGTCGAAAAAATTAAAAGAAAAATTGGAAAAGGAATTCATATTCTTGTAATTAGAACTGTTAGGTTTTTTATACCGGTGTACAATAGTGTGTATTTCTTTCGTCTGTCAGAAAAGAGCCATGTTTCAGAAACAGCCACAGTGCAGTTTGTAACGAACTTTTTTGATTATTTCCTAAAAATAAACTACTTACCAGTGTTATCATAGAAAGATAAAATGGTTTCCTAATGGTAAAGTAAATGTAGAAGATGAAAAGAAAATGTACTATGTAGAGAGATCCATTCAGACAATCAAATCTTACGAATATATCTGAAGACAGAAATCTTTTTACTAAACCTGAAATATAAAAACAAAACTAATTAATTATATATTCTAGAAAACATTGCGTGAGTTTTTACTGCATATCAAGACAATCAATTCATTCTCTGATACAGTGGCAACGACATGGAGGAACTGAGTATTTATTGATTTCACACGGGTTCGAACAATCAAGGCATTTATGTTTATTTTAATAACAGAAAATACATCCTAAAATCTTATTTGTATAAAAAAATTATATAAATTTCTAAATTCAAAAACTAATGGCTAAAGAAGCCCTATTTTCCTCCGTGTCTCATATAATTTCTGGATTGCCCTGTTCTAACATCAAAGAAGAATTATTTATTGTGACATCAGAGCCCTCATTGCGACATCGTCACAATGTGGGCTCCAATTTTTAATCATATTTTTAATTAATTTAATTCAAAATATATGCTCTTCAGATCAAATTGGTAGATGCTTCACTTTACACGTACTTTGCTTTTACCAATAGAATCATACTTGTAATTGTCTAACACGTTTCGAAGAAAACTATTAAATCGAAATAACAAAATTTTCGCTTTTTATCCGATATTTCTGTATATATAATTGGAGTGTAATGCGATTGCGCCTTTCAACTTTAGTTGCAGGTTTTACCTTCCTAACAGCGTTCACGGGATTTACGAAGGACATACAGACAGACTGACAATAGTGGGAATATAAAGGTTTAATTCTTTTCCAATTGAAGTTAAAAATAAAACTAAATAAATAAAATAGTCTGTTATATCATATTCCAATTTCCCATAGTAATATATTCATTATATATAAAACATAGCGTAAACGCGATTGACTATGTATAATTTTTCAAAATCTGTAAATAATTATACTATTCTGTATGAGATAACATTGTTAGTTTGCTTTCTTAAAGCAAAATGTTAAAATAAGTGTTATTTAAAAGATTATTATGCGGCCAACAAGTATAATGGGGCAACGAAGAAGTAAAGTACAAGTTGTAACAAGAATAATGGAGCAACGAAGAAGTACAGTAAAGATCTTGAGCAATATTCTGTTTCTTCTACTTGATATTATCTTGTTTGAAAAGCGGATAACCCGCGTGTTATCTGTGGTTAACCCTCGGTTAGACCTGCGGCGATTATTATTTTAGATGGCAAGACAATCAACTCTCAATAGTACCAGTTAATTAATAGATGACGTATAATATAATAATAGTATAGGTTGGGATATGTCGCATTGTAAAACTGAAGTTTTGCACGTTGTGAAAAATAATTGTTTAGTAAATATATACAAACAAATAATATTAATTGTAAGTGAAATGTGTGATTTTGATATTTAGTGGTTTTCAAATTGTATTATATAGTAATATAATGTAACTTATACTTATACAGTACTTTAACTAAAAGAACTGACTCTCAGTTACTTTTACTGTAAAAAGTGGAAATGGAAAATATAATACATAAATACTGGATAAATTTAAAGTAAAGTAAGATTTGAATTTTAATGAGCCATTGTTTCACGTCATTATAATTTATATTTTATACGATATAGTTGCTTTTTTAATGTATATTTACGGAAAATGCAAAATATGGAAATGAATTTTTAATTCGTTTTTCTATGAAACATATAAGTGTTTGTTGTAAAAATTTTTTACAATATATAAGTAATGTCGGGTTCCTAATTGTACTGTTGTTGATTTTTGACAGCATTGAACAGGGATTGTAGATATACAAAAACCCGAAATGTATTTGTAGCCTGCGTTCAATTTGGCAATAAAGTCTTAATTTTCTAACCGGAAGTGCTTTGAGATTGTCAACCATAATGATTTATTGAATTAAAATGACTATATATATATAACTTAATAAAATAAGTTGATCAAAACACAGATAAGCTGCTAAAATAGATTCTATTTCATATGTTAGACATGTGAAGAAAACTTTACGTAGCCAGTGTTTTGGCAAAGCGCAAACCTGTGACTGGACTAAGGTATTTAAAGCGAAGTAAGTAATTAAATAATGGAAAAATAAAATCAATCTTTATACATAAACAATTACTTTGAGAGACATCTTTGTTCTCCTGATTTAGTATATAAATTTTCTCCATTGCATCCGTCAAGGAGAAGATTTATATACCAAATAGTGTAAAAGTTTATTGATGAACTAAGAAACTTGTTTTAATATTTATAAATTATTTTATAGTGTTTAAAATGAAAATAGTAACTATTCATATTTTTAGGTACGAAATTTATGCTTTAATTCGAATACTGCTTACCTCCATGGCCTTTAGTAAATGCGATGCATATCCATATATTTGCAACTAACCATAAATACGGTGCAAATATCTTGAATAGAAGAATACTATTTTCATTCGGCGATACCGTATTCATATTTCCGTGTATTCCAAATATTGCAAATAGCAAACATGCAATTGATAACATCCAAAACAATAAACGAATTTTCTGTAATAGAAAATTAGATATGTTTTAATTATTTTATGTAAGAAGAAGCTTGTGTAATGCGATTGAAAGTTTTAAGTATACGTAATAAGTAAAGCATTAATTGCAGTTGGAGTTTGTTAATCCAACTGTTTGCTAATCAAGTTCGAGTGCTGCCATATTATCAAATATACAGGGTGTATTAGAATGACGTTTTAAAAATTTGGGGGATTGTAGAGGATGAAATTTTGAACGTTTTGATATAAGGAACCTATAGCCGGGAATTTGAACTGAAGTGTCTACGGTGGTAGGAAGTACTTGACCGCCTGTTACTTTGGTAGCACCCTTCCGTCCATTGACGTCATGTTATTGCTGCGGATGGAAAACTGTAAACACATAACTATAGGTGTAACTAAGCCTGTGTACAGGACGTTGTGTTCTTAGTGCTTGTCGTCCTTTAGGTCACCATCAGAGCAGAGCGTGGCATCTTACAGAGAGTCGGACAAAACGTGGTTCGTCGTTGCACATTATGTAACGAAGTTGATGATCGTCACATTGAACATTTATTGAAGTAAACTGATTCGATGTACACTTTGATTGTCCTCTACTGTTTTGTCAATAAAACTTGTCATAAATACTGTATTCTGCTGTTTCATTCAGCATATCGACCGCAAAGTGCAAAGTGCTGTAGACACTTTCGTTCAAATTTCCGGCTATGGGTTCCTTACATAAAAACGTTCAAAATTTCATCCTCTACACACCTCCAAATTTTTAAAACATCATTCTGATATACCCTGTATATGTATTATTGCAAAAATCGATAAGCTATATTAAAAAAAATCCGCTGCATTATTTACCATTTATATTAAGGCTATTTTAAGAATTAGATATAGAGCGAATTGATTATTCGTTTGGCATGACTAATTGAATCAAGTGATCGTATTATTAAAAACACAACCGCTCACAAATGTAAGTGGTTGCGTTTTTAATAATTTTTACAACATTGCCACGATCAAAAGCAAATTAAAATATCAATTTCTTTGTTATTTATTGCACCTCAATATTTAGACAAAGACATTTATAGCAGCATAAATTAAAACACGAAGTAGAAATTAAGCTGAAGAAAAAAAAATCTCAAAAAATGAATTCTTGTAAATCTGAATATAGGGGAGACCGGGGCAAGATCGGCATGTTAAGCTTTACTTAAATTTTGTGTAATAAATACTGCTGTAAACTGAAAAAAAAGCTTTGCATATTGTCTATTGGAATGTTACCTTACTATAGAACTGGTTAAAATCAGTTTGGAAATAAAAATAATTAAAATAATTACAACTTTACAAGAAGAGAGAAATTGACGAAGTTGCCCCGGGTATAGGGGCAAGATCGGCAACTTCTCTCTTTTTGTAAAGTTGTAATTATTTTAATTATTTTTATTAAAGTTGCCCCTGGTATAGGGGCAACAGTAATGGGGCAAGATAGGCACGTATATAAAATTATGTTATTAACAATGTATAAGTTGGAATTCACTATTAAAACAAAGAAATACAAATCCAACACCCATTTAATATTATTACAACGAAATGCAAGTTCAAAGACATATATACATGAATAACAAATGCAAACATGTTTTCATTTATCATCTGTTTGATTTTTATCCTTTGCTTCTAATGTGGCTTTATGTTGCCGATCTTACCCCGCTAGTCATGATTTCGAAACATTAAGTACAACCCTGAGAACAGAATGCCAAGCCACGATCTGGCCACGTGAATAAGTTGAAGTTACATCCTTCTAACAGGAAAAGTAACTTTCGTTATCATGGAATTATAACAAAACCTGCCAATTCAATATAAATGGAAAAAAAATATTATATGGAATTCAACGAAAATGAAAATTTGCTTGATAATTCAACTACGCTTGTTGGAGAACAATAAAAACACTACATTCAACAAGCTACCAATAAAACTCAACTTCCTAACCTATAACCAAAGTTTCCTTTTAATTTGTTTTTTAAAAAAAAAAGCGCTTGACAAACTTGCCCCGCATGCCGAAGTTGCCTCGGTCTCCCCTATATAAACAAAAACGTAAATTTATATGTCATGTGCCAACCTATCCGTCTAGTTAACAGGCAGGGTAGATTGGTAAGTAGGTAAGAAAGTCAATAGATAATAAAATATGTAAAATTCAAATTAAATCTCTAAGATAATGTTAACATAAAATTGATCTACCTTTCCAAATTTCAAAATTTTTCTTTGAGATAAAAGATACCCAACCAGTAGTCCCATACAATAACTACTTAGATGTGAGCAATATGGTTTGAAATATACTTTTTCCAGATACTTCATTATTTTCCTAAAAAGATGAAAATTTTATAAAAATTTATATTTAATATATTGTATAATAAATATAAAAATTAATTATTGAAAATTAATACATGTTGTAATGTTTCATTTAAGTGTGGTTACAAGAAAAGAAAATAAGGAGAAGATGCCATTATACTTGTAATTCGTTTATCAGCACTTGTGATAAGTACAAATTATATACAATCATTGTTTTTCATGTATGCAGCGTAAGACAAAAGTTTCTTTACGTTTATCGTCATTGCGAATTTATGTTTATTGTTGATGGTTAGTAGACGTGTTATAATGTTTTTCTTGTTGATAGTAAACACTGTGGATCCTGTGTGTGATCTAAGCCGAGTGATTTATGTATCGGCTTATATTATTGGGAACTACCCTATTTGGCTAATAGAGAATGGCTGGAACAGTGGTTTTCAAAGAGGTAGTTTGAAGAGCAGATTGTGTTTTCTGATATTCGGGGTAAGATGCCACATTGCGTATCGTATTAGATGTGATTGCATTTACTTCTTGTTATGTAAAAAATGACATAATAAAGTTTGAAGTAAAAATATTTAGTTTTTGTTGGTTTTGTTAAGCTATGGCATTTTCTCCGGACTACTGTACTTTTAGTAAATGTTAAACTCGTGTATTGAATATTGTTGAAATGTTTATCTTATTCACTCTAACTCATTAATAACATATTAATTTAACCATATAAACGTACTTTATATCAAGAAGATATCCAAATATTGCTGCAGTATCGGTAATTAAAAGAAGTGCTGTGTTTGCTGCAAATCCGATTAAAGTCAGCAAGACCATCATTATAATTCCACATTTTGGCCACCTGTAAATTAAAATATCATATTATATGTTAATAATTCTCATAAAACAACGATAATTCAATTAATGTTTTATTGCATGAAACTTCGTTTGTTAAGACTATTATGCTCTGTAGTTATTACTGTTTAACAAGTTAATGTAATAAGTTGTAGACTATAACATAATACAAAACACAATACAAAATAATTATTAATTTTTGAAATACATGATGAATTAATTTCACCTTTCCAAGACTTCCAAGACTTAAATCTCATTGAATACCTTTTCCTACCTGCTTCAAATTTCAAACAATGAAAGAGCATTTCTTCGCAATTTCTATATACTTTCATACACAACTACTACAGATTCAATCAGAATGTATTATTAGTTTACTATTGTATGTTATAAGATAAGATTGAGCACATGTCTGTTAAATAATTAATCGTTTTAACATGATAAATTTTGTTAATAAGCAAGTAATTCTCGTGCCCAAAAGTAAAAAGTATATATAAAAAATTCTCGTTTAAAAAATATATTACTTTGTTATGAGAAAATGCATGAAATTTTGGTAAATGTTTCTTATCTCATAATTTCATTACGTGCTTTGTCCATTTAGATTGCACAAGACATCGCCTTAATAACACGAAAGTTTTAAAAATAGCCACAGTAAAATAGAATGCACAACTTTTCTTTCTGTTTGCATAAACAAAATCTTTTTTCAGGCACTAAAACCGTTAAGAAATGTTTACAGAAATCATGCTTAAAGACTATGGGAAACTGGAGATATTGGAAAATATGGTTCACATGACTTTTTAGAACATGTTTCAGAAAACTTTTAAGTTGTGAACGTTCGCTGAGAATATATTGAAATCTACCTAAAGTAGTAAAAATAAATAACAAAGCAGAAAATATAGAAACGTAAATAGTAGTATGATAAAAAAAAAATACCTTATTTTACTACTACTACTGAATTTATACATAGAAATAAAGTTATAGCGCGATAATTGACAACCTTGTTTGGACCATTAATATTAATTCCGAAAATCTTGCAGATAGTCAAAACAATAGTCTAAACGTAGATGACCATGATGGGCCCTATTTTAAAAAAATATAAACAAAAAGTATATACTAACTTCAACATAGTTGCAAAACTAGAGTTTTCTACATTCATTTTTCCTTTATATTTATATATATATTGAAGTTACGTTTAACATAAAATCTTCTTAGTTCTGTTTTCTTATATATTACTATTAGTACATCGATGTACTAATAGTGACATATAGCAGAGTTTAAGTTAAACGTCACTTCAAAAAATAATATGGAAAAGTATAAAGAAAAATTAATGTAGAAAAATTTAAAATTTTACGAAAATTAAAAGACATTTTCTAACGATCAATTTTCTGAATAAGAGAATGCAAAAACAAGAAAATTCAATACAACCTATTAAATAACAATAACAAATTAATTTGTTTTATAATTATAAAATAAGAGTATATTTTACAGTTATTGAATCATAAATGATATAATACTTCATATACGAATCTCTTCAAATTAAGACCTATATTTTCATAAATATATACTGATTATTCTACGATAGTTTGAATCTATAAAAACAAATTTCGCTTTTTAATGAAATACAGCAGTAAATTTCAAAAAGTATATTTCAAATAAAATGACTGTCATCTCATTCTTCTTACCTGTCAAGTATAAATAATATGGGTGCAGTTATGATAGTTAATTGAAATATTACATTCATGATCCACATGGGAGTTATCATCTGCAAGAAAAATACATTACAAGTTACTGTTTTACACAATGCAGTAAATAAAATTGAATTTAAGTTTGTTGCCACTTACCAACGGTATGAATTTATAAAAATTCGATACATGAAAAACGAATTTCCACCAATGTTCTTCAATTAGATTAACTTGTTCCTGTAGAAAATGCCAATGTGGGCCATCACCAAATATTGGTAGTATAAGGGCAATTGCTGTAGTACATATCACTGGAAATGTTAATCTGAAACATGAAAATACAAGAAATTCCCAATGAAATTTATCATCAAACCGAAATAAGGATTGTAAAATCAAATAATTTTTCAAACCTGATGAACCTCTTCACTACAAACATAATGTAATAGAAAATAGAATGCTTCACGTTATTTCTTCGTAGATAAAGTGTTAGAAAGCCGCTACATTACAAATTAAAAATACATCATTACATTCTTACATACTAATTATCTATAAAGAAGTTTTAAAATGTTATTTATTGCATTATCGTCGTCAATCTTTCATTATTTTTCATATTGCTGTGTCACAAAAGAAATTTCCGTTTCTATTAGTTACATCTATAAAAAATTAGAATCTTATAATTTTAATAGCCTCTTCGTAGTATAACTGTCTACTTTCTTCCTATTATTGTTCACAAAAACAGAAAATTTACCTTTACTTTATTGAATTCGACACATTCGAGTTGTGTTTGACTTAAAAGTTTGTATATTGTATATTATTGAGCAAAATAAATAAAATTGTGTGTCTCACGATCTGTTATAAGATTTTATTATAAAAACTTTTTTATTTTTAACTAATATAAAATGGTAAAAAGCTTAGCTTTCGGGTAGTGATGAGTTTTATAAAGAGTAATAACGAGAAAATGTTTATCAAGCATTACTCCTCTATTAATACCTTTATGTTAAGAATACACTTGTAATGTTATTCTTATATTTATTATTTAAAAAATTTAATTTTTAAGAACTAAAAATGTATTAATTAAATAATAAAAAACAATTAATAATGAAAAACATTGCATACCTCAAGAATAAGAAAGATTCGACTGTTTCGAATGAGTTTAGCACTAGGTCCATGTAAGCAACGTCAATCACATGAGTATAGTATAGGAGATTTTCTAGAAATAAATTTTAATAAATATTTTGTTATATATTTAAATATAATAATAATAATTGTTTTACGTTGAAATATATAAATATAATAAATTGATTTCATTTTACTTCATTTATATTTATTAAATATTAGTTTATATACCACATGTTACCCGAAAAATGTAATAGAGCACTGCAATGGAATAACCTTTCTTATGTTCTGAGAATGTACAATCTGCATAGTTATTTACAGTGATAATGCAATAACTATTGTTGATTTATTCTAAAATAATGTGCATATGTTCCCCCAACAAATTTTAATAACTAATAAACAATAAATCATTAAAACATAAGACACAAAAAAGCTCAAGAGTAGTGGAATATTCTGTAAGTAACACATTCATTTATTAAATAGATTTAATAGTAATTCTTAAAGTACTTTTTTTTAGAATTAAAAGTTGAAGAAGTAAGTGTAAAATTATAAGAAAGTAAAAACAGAATGTTATTATTGTAATCACAATAAAATGTGTTGTAATATTGTAGTCATATTATAATAAACAGTTTTGAAAGGAAATATTATTTAAAATATATCCACTTTTAATTAAAATAAATGTATAAAATATATGTCTGAAAAAGATAATAAAAGAAAAAAATCATTATAAAGAAAGATAAAGTTAGAGATGTTAAAAGTTTAGTTACAATAGAAAAGGATACACAGTACTGGAAGGAATTTGACACTCATTAAAGTTGCTTATAAAACTATGTTTCCCATTAAGCCTTCTTATCTGGCAACATATCTTCTTTAAAAAGAAATGAAACTATTAAAATGATGTTTGACAGCTAGTGATAAAAACATTTTGGTTAGGTTTGATGAAATATGTCAATGAATACATGGCACACGCGTAATGTTCTGTGTTTCTGTATGGTGCTGTACGATGGATTTAAAACCATTAATGGTTTCGTGCAATCACTGAGGATGAATCAACCAGTGGTTACATCTGCCGATAGTCTAGTTATCTGTGTATTCGCTCTTTTTCCTCTGTGGAAACTAGAGGATATGCATTTAATCATGTCCAGCATGGATTTGGTCAAATTTGCAATAGGCAACTGGGTTTATTATCAGAAATTAAGTTGAAATATGTAAAATAATCAATATGAAAAAACTTTAATAGCTGATAATTAAACAAAATTAATTTAATTCGAATTATTAACTTATTTTTCAGAGTAACAACTTTCTACCTAATGCTGGATATCGATCAGTTCGTATCACAATGCAACCCCACAATACACCATTTTCTGGCTCTAAAGTTATAATCGCTTAAATTTTAAAATAACATATAATTATATAGATATACGCAGTGATTGAAAAAAAAAAAAGATATTAATACATCTCTGTACTATGTTTTAAGTAGAGAGAAAGCGAAGGATTATGTCTCCCCTTGTCTTTTGGTACCAATTATTCTGCACGCAATAAAGGCTATGAAATAATTGTAAAATCTATCTGAACATCGAAAAAAATGCAAATAAGAAAACGTAGATTAAAGAATATTAAAAAAATTGTTTCCTTATTAAAATAGATATAGGCCTAATAGGAACAATATGAATCGAGCTGTACTTCTCACGATAATTATTCCCATTGATTTTATATCAGATGCAACAGACAGCTTTTTTTAACTTACGTTAATATTAATTCCACATAAAGACATAACAGTTTACATCTATTTTATCTGAATATATATTTGAACTCGTAAATAACAACTTGTAAATGGACGGTGAAAATATAGAAGCTTAAGTTTAAACATAGTTTTCATGTCAGTCACTACATACTTATATATAGTATTTATTCTAATAAACAGTACACTGCTTACATTTTTCAGTTGGCAAGTACTCAGTCTAATAGAGTGCGTTTATTATTAGAGGGTGCTAATTTTTTTTCTATTAAAAGGCACTATGAGGACGTTTAGTTACTGTAGTAGCTCATTGTGTGTTTGTTAAGGCTCATAATAGTGTGGATAAATGGTGACAGACAGGATTCAACATATCTGGACAGATCATCCCTAGAAAATTTTTTGAATGATTTTCGATTTGTACGGATTCAATCCGGATAATAGTGTACAATTGGAGTCCGGATCGAACCGGACTCCAATTGTAGACTATTATCCTCCACGGTCATCCGACCATCAGAGAATGCTATTATGAAATAAATCCGATATCTTTTTACACATTATTGTAATTTCGAAACATTGCAATACTCATTACAAGTGTCTTTTATTTTAACATATAGTAAAAGTGACAAAGCTGAATAGACTGTACAATTTTTGAGTTTAATAAATAAATACTGTACTTTACACACTAATAACAATTAAATAATTCAAATTTAAATAGTTATGTAATTAGATTTTAATTTATTCGATTAATGAAATGTAAAATCAAACTTTAATTTCTTACTTACCTATTGAAGGAAAATAAATGAAAGCCCCTATTATATGAATATATATTAACTTTATCAATAAAATCAGTTTAACGCCGCAAATCCATTTCGTCTCCTCTTTGATGTTGACTTTCAGCAATTTCTGCATAGATGTGTTAAGAGAGACACACAGAAAATAATTCGAAATCTTCACTGAAAGTACAAAATTTTTTATGTATTTAATTGATAAAACACGTTAGACTTTCGTCAATCCGACACGTACCAGAGCAAAGCGATGTTGGATTTCCTGTATAGGTGAATGGATGTTCTGCATTTCCGCAAAATTCGATAAATTATGTGATTCGAACGTTACAGACATTACTGTACAGTTTATACCAGTGCAGCTACTGCATGCAACTGATATATTTGTGTACGCTGTTTACACAGCTTATCGACAAGCGTACAAAGGCTGCCGAAACCAAAAGTAGAAAATGAAAACTACAAAATTTTTGTTTTATGTCAACCGAACTGTGGCAGAAAAGAGGGTTCAGCTGTGCTGCATAACGTTTCTGATTTATATTAACCAATAAATAATTAAAATAATACTATAGTATGTCATTACTTCAACGCCATGACATTGATTACTGCCGTGCCAATGTGCAGTAGGATATTAAAATGGCAGAAAATATTAGAAAGCGTGACATTAATCTAAAAGCATTTTCAGATAAAATAAGAATACACTAATGCTTATAAAATAAATCAGATCAAAATTTACAGGTTAGATATTGCTGTAAAATTTTCATAGTACAAACACTACATAAGGTTCATCGCGTTCTATAATGCCGATTTGTATATTACCCACAGTTCCAGTTGTAGGAAGTAGAATAAAAGCAACTGGCCCACGTGCTGCTGTATATTCTGAATTTTACTTTCGATAAGTAAGTTTATCTATTGCAAATATGCCACCTAAAAAAACAAAGGTTTGCAACAGCTAGGACCGTCGTCAAGTGTTTCAATTCGGCCTAGAAAAAGGAATGCCCCAAGCCGCATACTGGAGGGAGGTGATAGCAAAAGTGCGACAACTGATCAGTGGTTCAAATCCAAAAACCCAACGAAGTATTGCCCAGAATGTTGGAATAGCTCAGTCCACAGTTCATCCCATAATTCACAAGAATTTGAAACTGGAAAACGCCATAAAGGTCGAGTCACAAGCTGCTGTCTCATCACATTCAAGAACGTAAGACCAACTGCCGAAAACTGTACGAAAAGTATCTTTCGGTAAACAAGTGGCAGTTTGTAGTCACGCTAGATGAAGCACGGATGTACAGTACATGAACAATTGTAACAAATCTCGGGCAATTTACTACAGACCATGAGATGGGAGACCATACCAAAAATGGTTCAAGGAATGTTGCGAAAGTTCTCAGTCAGGCTTATGGTCATTGAGAGTTATTGTTATCGTATTAAACTAAACATCAAAAAAGTTGATAAAAACGTTAATTTGACGTTCTGGAACCTCTATACCTTGAAGAGATCCCTACTTTATACGGAAATGACCAAACAAATGTATAGGTGCATCAAGACAAAGCTTCGAGTCATACCTCCAAATCGACCCGAAATTTCATCCATGTATTGGAACAGGAAACGGGAATCCATACCATCCCTTTCGATGACATTCCCGTGAAGTCGTCCGACGCGGTTCTAGTGGACTACTGTACGTTTGGTCTATTGAAACGATCTCTGCGAAGCTTTCGTCCAAAAACAACGGCAGACTTATGGAAAGCCTGTAAAGAGGAATGGGACTGTTTGGACATGAATGTTCTGTAAAGAAACCTTATACAGTGGAAACTTTGATGTAGGGCTACAGCTCACAACATGGCCATCGGATCGAGCTTAATCAAAACTGGCGCCATGGCATTTAGGTTACTTTATAGGTCTCTAAATTCGGCATCATGTAACGCGATCAACCCTCTGTACGTGATAAATTATTTTGGATTTATTTAGTTTGAATCTTACTGTTTTAAATACTGAATATTCACAGAAAATTCTACGTTACTTAAAACGATATTTTAGATTATAGTCATTTTCAACAACCCAATTAAACATGAAAATTGCTGAAAAGAAATACACTATATACAATTGCATGCGTGTTAACCATATTCTATTTTAACTACTTTTCGGTCAACTAGAACATGCCTTGATTTCTATATGAAGAATCTTAGGCATGACAGAATAGAACAAATCTCAAACTGGAATAAATGTGAAATATGGCGTTTCAGTTTTCTGCTAAACTTTTTAAGTCTGTGGAGTTGAAATTATTTCTTTGCTATCAAAATTATTATCAGTTAATTTCAGAGAATGCCGAGTTACCGGAAATTCTAAATTATCGAGTGTCGGATTAACGAAATTCTAATGTTGTAAAATATAATTCTAAAAGGGGTTTAAAGTAAAAGTTAAAACAATAATGTACAAGCTTCTCTAATATATATATATATATTAGTATTATATTATATATATATAATATTATGCTAAGAAGATTTTTTACTTTTCTAGCTGTTATATATAACAGAGGGAAGATATGGCGATCGGTAAAAAAATGACTCCCCAAGATTTTTAGTTTTGGACTCAGGACACCTTTAATTTCCGAGAAATGATAAGATTCGAAAGTTTTTCCGTATTTGTAGATTTTAGTTTGTATAGGGCGGGGTACGACTTTTTCAATCCATTTTTAAGCTTAAAACTTTAGTGCTTTTGTCGAAATTTTTGAAAGTTTGCAGAGAGGTTTGATTATCAAGGATATTAATGCTGTTAAATTTTGGTCAATAAAGGTCGACAGGGTGTGCATATAAAGAGGGTCGTGTGTACCTCCAGTAGGGTAAGATTTAATGATGATTATACTCATTATTAAAATTTACAATTTTTTCTATACCTATCTGTACAATCAAAATTAAGCATTTTTCCATTTTGTAATAGTTAAAAATATAAAATTTCTATTAAAAAAAACTATGATAAGAGATGGCGCCAGCAAATGTTGCTGGAAAAGTTAATGTTGCCATCTTGTTGCTGGACTTTTTTATCTGAACTTCATTTCTAGGGGAAATTTAAATGAATTGGGTGTTATAGATAAAGTGAGTCTGCAAATTAGCTTTTAATTTTTGGTTTGGATGATCCTTCCGATTATACCAGATAGCAAAATTCTGAAATATCCCTATTATCTTTTATGGGGAGTTGACAATACTTTTTTAACAATTCGCAGTAAGGTTCATCAACACGCCATCAGTGTATGTTATTTACGAATGAATGTTTGATCCTGATAAAGAGCTCTGACACAAATTTGCTGTACTTTATGCTCTGAACAACTTTACATTACTCGCTCATGGTCATTCGATCACCTAAAAAATGTTCATCGAGACTCAAATTAAGCAGAAGGACTTTAGTTCCATTACATTTGCTATCTTAAACGTGATATGAAAACAATATACAATGACTTACGATGATTTTGCATGATGACAGCCTAGTCGTATACTGAGTTGTAAATTATATGTATTCAAACGAAAACTCGATGCCAGTTGGAGTAATAATTTGTAATAAAAGCTGAAGATGGCTGGATTAACGTCAAAAATGTTATTTGAATAAAATAAAAATTAATAAATTTAATTTGCTAAAATTCCTCCTTTATAATTTCAGAAATATTGCTTTAAATATTAATGAAGGAATATTAAAATACCGGAAAGACATACGCTTCAAAGAAAACACGGGAGAAAAAAAATGCGTAGAAATAATACGGTAACAGTAAATCAGTATAAACATAAAATATTCCATGTAAAGTGGGCAGAAATATTTTTTAAAAAATATATAATCTGTGTCGACTCCTCCTCTGAGTAATTACTCAGGAGGAGGAGGAGGTGGATCGTACCTGAAAATATCAGGATATTACGTAATAATGACGTCAAGGAGGAAGTTCTTATTTTAAAATCTTATTCACGGTTAACCGATTTATTCTTAAACAAAANTGCTGTTCCGCTACAATCTTTGGCTATGTCTTGGGCTACTCAAATATTTTACGTTTGTGATACTAAATTAACTTTTAAAGTATAATTTTTTATTGTTTTTATATTTTTCAATATATTTATTTTGTTTGTACAATATAAAAAAAAAATAATTTTTAATGATACAATAGTTTTCGTTAGGCTTAACATCAACGAAAATTCAACGCGAAGCAACACGCAATGGAGAAAAATTTTAACATGAGATAGGTTAATATATTTTTTCGTACATGATCGGTTATCCGAAATAGCGATTTTCCGAACAACCCCAGTCCCCCAATTGATTCGGATAATCGACGCTGTACTGTAAAAATAAAATGAAATCTGTAATATCATAATTATAAAAATCATAAGTCTAAATGCAATAAAAAATGATCGAAGTAAATCTATAAATCTGTTTAAAATTAATCATGATATTTGTTTTGTAAGCATGGCACAAAACAGTAAATACACAACTTACAAGCAAATTATTTGTGAGGTTGAATAAATCCTTTCTTCATTTCGCTCTTTACATCCTTTAACACATAGCATTGAATTATCTCCAGTTGCTGCAAATTATTTAATTGATACATTAGTATTTATTTATGAAATTATTATTATTGTTTTATTTCATAAAATGGATGTCACGTACATCTAATTATTTTTTAATTTCGTAAAGAAATTAAAAAATAATTAGATGAAACACGAAAATTTGAGAAATTTGGATTATTACGTGATAATTGTTATTTCATAACTTCTTATCAAAATTGAAAGTATGTTGCACTGTTTTTAAAAATCCGCCATTTTAGTAGTTTATATATAAAAACATTAATATATATCATATTTATATAACACATATGTTGATTTTTGATAACTCGTAATTGAAGGCAGAGAGAAAAATTTTCGAAGTAACAAAATTTCGAGTTAGAAAGGCTATCGAAATTTCAATGAAATAGTATACGTCACAAAACAAACAATATATTTAGATTACAAACATTACATTTTACACTTTTATACGTACATCACTTATATGTTTTCGATCAGTCGAAGGTTTTTTTGCACTAATTACGAAATGCGCGCTAATTATTTTTGGAGTATCTAAGCCGTTCTTTAAATACTGCGCCAAAAAGTTGCACTTTGGGACACAAATCTTTAAAAACAGTGGACCTTTTATAGTGGTGATTCAAACTTAGCGCGCACGTTAGCGCCCTGGCATTTTTTAATATATGACTATATTCTGGTTTCATCCTATAGAGATTTTCATCTGTCAGAATACCGAACGTTGAAGTATTGAGTTGTATATGTTTTAATTGGATTGTCGGATTCTCTCTACTTTCAATGTTTATTTATTGGTATTTGGTAGATTTCAAATAATAATTTAAAATAAAAGTATAAACAAACACCCAAACGATAAATTAAGCAATTGTATTAATATCAAACATTCTTGAAAATGAACTTACCCCATGCAAGAATATTTTGCAAGTCATCTTTAGAACAAGTACTTGGTATGCAAACATCTATCCAGAATTGTATGTCCGTCTCGAATAATAATTTTATATGAGAAAGTTTAAGCGGCTCCTGAAAATAATATTTTCATTGAACCAAAACTCCATTATTAATCTAATAAAATGTAAAAACAATTATTATAATATTGTATGATACTTCTAAAAAACTTATACAGCGTTAACTGACTTCAAGAATAACGATAATAATATTTATAGTAATATATGACTAAATTTCAATTAGAAAATTAATATTAATACAAATTTAAATAATTTCAGCATTACTGACAATTTACCAGCAAACTTATAAAAATCTATATTTATGTTTGTTTAATCAAATATTTTAACCAAACACATGGTAATCTGTAACGGGGCAGATTATTCTTGTGTTGGGTTGGTATCCACCAATCTGTTAGTTTCCTATAGAAACACCTAACTGGAGGACTATTTATGGGAAACGACCCTTATTTAGGTATTAGACATGATGATGAAAACCCAGAAAACTATGTGGACAGATCTTTAAAGACATTCGAAGCTGATACCAACTATTAGGTTAACTACCCGTGTTTTTATTCACTCGGCAATTAATGACCGAAAATTCGTTTATTTAATTAATAAATAAAGAGAAAAATGCTTACAATGAAGTGTTGAATCAGTTTTATAATTGAATTATTCTTTTGTTCGACAATCTGTGCAACTTTAGGGTACATACTTTCGCCATTGACACCAATATAACAGAATTTTCCTCGAATATTTTTCGAATTTTTAATTGTTGTTTCTTTGTCTTCTGTACTGTCAATCAATAAACACTGATCGTAATCTCCTCGTATCCAATTGCTACCTCTCAAAGCACCCGCAGAAGGTTTTCCGAAAGCATCCAACACTGAAAGTAAAAATAAATAAGGTCACATGATAAATGGTTTAAGAAATCGCGTATTTTTTTTAAGTTTGCTGATATAAAAACTTTAATAATCTTTATTATCTGACACCAATGAGCGCAGTCAGGAACAAATACAGTAGAGCGTCGTTTATCCGAATCAATTGGGGACTGAGGTTGTTCCGATAACTTATTTTTCGGATAACGAATCATGTACGAAAAAATATATTAATTTATCCCGTGTTGAAATTTTTCTCCGTTGCGTGTCGCTTCGCGTTGAATTTTCGTCGATGTTAAGCCTAACAAAGATTATTGTATCGTTAAAAATTATTTTTTTATTTTGTATAAACAAAATAAATATATTGAAAAATATAAAAACAATAAAAATTATACTTCAGAAGTTAATTTAGTATCAAAAACGTAAAATATTTGAGTAACCCAAGAAATAGCCGAAGATTGCAGCGTCACAGCACTAGCAAAAATTTAAATTTGCCCACTGGAATACTTTCGGATAACAGACGTTTCGGATAACCAGCTTTCGGATAAACGACGCTCTACTGTATGTATAGACAAATACATAGTAGATACATGCTGTTAGTGATTGTCATACAAGGATATAATAATATAACGTCAAAGAAAAGGAAAGTAAAATAAAATAAATGAATAACAGCCTGAAAACTTCTTTTCATATTTTGGTTTTTTCTGGGTTGTGGGCACTAAGAATTTTGTATTAATAGCACCGATGATGGGTTCGGTCAGGCAGAGAAGGTATAGGCAATCACCGACCATATCAATGAAAAATTTTTGTGATTGCTTACCTGGATCCATTCCCGGTAAATATCCCAATAATACGTAAATACTAATGTAATGGAGACACGAACCAACGACCAGTATTACAGAGATATATAGACATAGTATATGCATATTTTTAATTCTCCATGTTAATGTTGTATATATTATTTGTAACCTTGCTGTAATTCTTCATTTTAAAATGTTTCAAAATTATAAAAGTTTGATCGATAATTAATATTTACGGTATTTTAATTTTACCCGGCTGGTTATAAATAATTTAATTGGATATTTTAATCAATTAGAAAATTATAGTTTCTTAATCATTTGTATACTTAGAAGTAGTTAACTTCAGAGAGGAATTTCAATCTTATAATTGTTTAATTTTATAGGCATACATATTGATAAAGTTCTTCGATGCCATCGTCTAATATTCACGGTGATGAACCACATCATTTAAGAGAATGGAATTTTATATAATCGAAGTATTTCTTATTAACTTTGTTCTCCATAACAAATAATAATCTTTGTAAAGACTTCAATTTAGCCTTTTTCTGAAATGTATAAAATAGATTTCCCAGAAGTGCTTACCTTAAATCAGCGGTCCCCAACCTTTTTATCGCCGCGGACCGGTCAACGTTTGATATTTTACCGCGGCCCACTGAGGGGGGACGTTGATTGTTTATATTTTAGATTGATTTAATTTAATAATTTTAATTTAATTGTATTTAAACATGCCTTTAAAATAAAATATAGTTACACAAAAAAATAAACGTTAAATCAATGAGAACCCTGAGCTTGTTTCTTTGCAACAAGACGGTTCCATCTGGGGGTAATAGGAGACAATGACACCCGAAGTGTGTTTCTTATGTCCAGTTTATTCCGTTGTTCCGTCGTCCATTAAAAGTCGCACAAACCCGAGAGAAATATACCATAGTAAATAAAATGGAAATACCAGTAATTTAATGTTTCTTGGGCGGCCCGGTACCATTTGATCCACGGACCGGTACCGGTCCGCGGCCCGGGGGTTGGGGACCACTGCCTTAAATCATAGTTTTCATTTTCTCCAACTCGTAATTTCTTCTATTCAAAGCATTTTTTAGATTTAGCGTTCACTCAAACATTTTTTTAATACACTGAAAAGTAACTGTTTTTTAAATGCTTTATTCAGAAGTATATACAGTGTAAAAAATTTTCAGCATTTCTATGATACAAGTCTTTCTTAGTAACTTCATAAACTTAGGTTGAATCTTCAGCTCGATTCTTAAATAAAACAATTTTTTATGTTGGTATGGAGAATTATTTATTTTCTTTATGTTACGACTCGAATTCTATGTGATAATTCCTTGCCAAATTACTACCTGGATAATCACACTTGTTCTACCTGTTTTCCAATTAAGTTTCAACTATACATCATTTCTGACAAAGTCGTGAATTCTCTCAGAAGTTCCATGTTTGTTAGGTTTCTTGGCATGTCGGAATGATTCATTCAACCTATAATTTTACTCAGTATTGTGTAATCAAAATTTACGATGTTAGACAAGTGTCAGTAAATATAGGTGCGAAAATCGAGTGTTAATAAATGCTAAATCCGTTCACTGAAATACTGTTAGAAAATTGTAAATTAAATGTTCCACGTACAGTGTCTATCATAGATTTTCCTACAGCATAGATTGTAGTGTTTCGAAGCATTATTTACTTTTCAAAAAAATAACCTGCAATCATTTTTTCTACTAAAATACTATTTAGTTCTACACCAGAAAAACATTATTTCTTTTCTAATACAGGATTTGTTTTGTCTGAACTAAAAGCATAGTTTAGTATAAAATTTCCATTTTCATTTATTTATTGGCTAAGTAGTAGTTAGAGTTTTCTATTCTCGCGTACCTTCAGGTTCTATTTCTTTTAAACATTTCAAATTCTGAGCCACTTGCGTTCGACTTGATTAATTGAACTTTTTAAAGAAACTTAACAATTCTTATATTCTGAGTAGTGACGGTTATAGATCAAGTATCTTCTTAAATCTTCAATATAATATAACACTTTCTTCAATTTTTCATCAAATTACTTCTTATCTTCACACACAGGAAGAGTCATCTTCCACGTGTGTACAAACTTATTAAAGAGAAAGACAAGTTACGAATGAACCTGGTAGTTAAAACTACATTTTAAACAAGTATTTTCCTGTTCCATTAAGTTAATACTTCTCATTTAATTTTTACAAATAGCGAGATGTTTTCATTCATACTTATTTTACATGTTAATCTCCCTAATACTAGAAAGGTCAATAGACAATATGGTATAAAGTACAATGGTTTTTGGTTTTGTGATGTATCAGACTTGAAAAAGAAAGTAAGGAACATACCAGAATGAAAACAACATTAAGAACTGAATGTTACACAACAGTATACTGGAAGTAAAAAGTTAACATTAAATACAATTAGTGTTTGGTAAATTCAATTTTATTAAGATTGGTTTTATATAATTACAGTTATAATGTTGTATGTAGTAATTGCATAGTAATGTACCGTATATGTCGGTTTATCTGAGCATAGAAATTCATTTTATCAGATTCTTTTATGTATTTTAATTACAATACGATTTTGTCGAATTGTGTACGTAACTCGGCTAAGAAGAGCTATTAAAAATGCCTCTGGGATATTAATTAAGCGTTAATTTTAAAAATCGGAAATGACTGTGATGTGTGCGATAAGTCTGATGGCATAACAATAATGCCAGCAGGCTCTTATGAGTAAGTACTACTAAGGTATTTAATTAATTAGATTAATTAAATTAACAGACTAAAAGGTTACGTCGAGTGCATAACCTGCATTTTTATTATGCATTACACATGATAATCCGCCCGTTTATTTATGCAGCATATAACCCAGCGTCCACCGTTTCAATGAAATTCGTGTCAAGCATTTTATTTTCTAATTTAGTCAATCTTAATTTTCTGCACATTATTATTTTATAACCTGAAATTAGTGTGCACAATACTGCAGGCCAACCAGACATATTACTTCTTCGCTTAAAATTTTTGGCGCTTTAGTAATCGTTCCTTCATTACTAAACTTGACTCGATACAACATTCATTTCTTTTAGGTAAGCTTTAGGTCCATAGGGTACCATTAATCCTACACTGTCGCTAATTTCTAACCAATCAGTGAAAAAATAACCGGTTTAAAAAAGTCTAGGGCAGTATTATATTTACCACACTACTTCTTGCTATTATTGTGGGAAGTTTTAAAAATCAAACATGAGCTATAATGTAACAGTTTTTTAAATTCATTTATTTCAATTGCTGGCCGAGAAGTCTCGCTGTGTAATTTTGTACGGTAATAAATATTTAAAAGTACTTACTCTTTAAAGTCCACGGTTTTAACTGCATTAAATCTTTTAGAAATCGAATTCCAGAAGTTTGACAAGATGTAGATATTTTCACTTCTTCTGCAATTCTCAACATGTAAGGAATGGTTGCTTTATTAAGCGACCTCAAGTATCCTTTTATTCTTTTCTCCGCGTTTTCCAGAGACGTTTTAATGTACTCTTCTATTGTCTCATTGTTACTGTTTCCAACAGTTTTCGTCTCTTTACTAAATACCACAAAATTCTTGAGCAGAAGTAAAATAAATATACATTCGAAAGCATTAAACCTCATATTGAACCTCATATATGAAGAACGTATTAAAATTCTAACATATTTTTGAATAGATTTTAAAATTATTTCCAAGAAATTTTCCTGTAACATTATTATATGAAATGAAATAAGGAAAATATCATAATATATGATAATTATGATTTATTATAAAAGTTTCCTTATTTTATTCGAAATTATGCCGTATAATTTTTATCATATTATTCTTGTAATTTTAAAATATTATCGTAAAATTATTTTATTATAAAAACGCATTTAAAATTTAAAAAATTACTCGGAAAGAAATTATATAACATAAATTTTAATATTAAATTTCCATAGCGTAGCAGAATAAAGAGTTATCGTGCCACTCTCGAGCTTCCTGTTGGAATCCAAAACCGCAAAGTCAGGAATTTTTCTTATCAATTTGCTATTTTATCTAAGGGAAATATTACAGTATGGGCAGTTGATGAATATAATTTAAAAGTCCTTTTAATTCCCTCATGGAAGAAAGTCTAACATTCAATATAATTTAAAATAAACTTGTAGAATATATTTCGAGTACCGTATTGGTGAAATTTTTTTCTCAATAAGAGTAAGAATTTTATAAATGCCAAAAGCTTTGGTTTCTATCAGCATAAAGCCATCTTTAAAAAGATACAGTACCAAGTTGCTCAACTTTCCCAGCAACATTTAAACTGCATGTGGTGCCATCTGTTATGGTATTATATTGAAAAATATTTTTGATATTTTTGATTATTATAATATAGCAAAATACCATATTTTCTCAGAAGGAATGGGTTGTAGAAACATTGTAAATGCTAATAATGAGTAAAATCGTCATTGAATTCGACCTTAATCGAGATGCAACACAGGACTATTCTCCATTTTCGCCCCTGCTTTATCTCAATCCATCAAAGTTTAATAGCATCAATTTTCAAAATAAAAAACCTCGCTGCAAAATTTCAGAAATTTTCAACAAAAAGCAACAGGAATTATTAATTTTCAAAGAATGATGGAAAAATCATTCCCTCACACACACTTCTACATATGCATAAAAAAACACCAGAATTTGTATGCATTTTTGGACGTTTCAAGGTCCTATGAGTTGAAAATATAAAAATCGTGGGAGTTATATTCTTATCGGTTGCCGTACTTTCCCTCTGTTACACAACAGAGCCAAGAAAATAAAAATGTAATTTAAGAAATGATGTAACTATAATAATTACTATTATCCATCAATATACTTTATTTGTACATATACACAAATATTTGGCAGTTTTTATTTTATTAAAATTTTTATTTATTTTATTGCACTAATTCTTCATATTTTTGTCTCTGTAAGTACACCCCTAGATTGGTAAGTGGTAAAAAGACTTGTTTATAACGATCGAAAATGTTTTATAAAATATCTCAAATTCAATTCAATGACAAATTTAATTTTTTTGAATTGTCTACTATAGATATAAATCATTATCTCATCATTTCTTTCAAAACAATAACTCAGAAAACAATAGGATATTTCTAAGAGGATTTCAATTGCTTAATTTCATGTAGGAGTATTTTTACAATAGAACTATTTTATTTATGTATTGTCCAGCTTCTGATTTCTACTTATGCTACATAATGAAATGAATGCAATTAATATCAATTATTTTTATCTATTCACCAACATATGAGTGACGTGGGCCACGTGTAGCCGAATAAATAAAAGTATTGAAGACTGTCTTTGAATTCAATCTTTAAGAATGGGCTAGTTATGTGAAGTATTTTGGGTTTTCCTCACCTGTTTGATATCTAAATTTAGACTAATTTTTTAATGAAAGCAATTACTCTTTGGCACATCACTGACGTGTTGCATCGTTTTTTTTTCGTATTATTCCACTCGAACATGTATGTAAGAATCCAAACTTTTAACAACAATCGGTTGACGATTTCGTCATAACTGTTGTCATCTACTACCTGAGAACATCTCGATTTACATTTTCTCGACGGCGAAAGCGATGCTTTCGTGTGATATATTGACATACTAGCCAAGTGTTACCGATTTTAAGGCTTACATTTAAACTTCCTAACGAAATGTAACAGACTTTAAATTAAATAATTTTCTTTTCATGGAAAATTATTTAATATTTCAATTAAAATAAAATATAATTTTATATAATTCAAACTGTATCAGAGTTTATTTTAATAGTTTAAAATGTATCAGAACTTTACATTCAATTCCTATACAAATTAAAACGTATACCCCAAAGTGCATCAAAACACTAATACAGTAGACTACTTATACGGATAAAATATACAACAATATTGATAAACATTTTTTACTACAATTTCTAAAAATTATTCATTTATTACAATTAATATAATTACATTTTACGAAATTTTTGTCACACAATCGTATTATTATCTTATTATTCACTATAAAGTTTGCATTCATATCTTTTATTTTGTGATAGTTTTAAGGATTTTGCTTTATTCTTCTCCTGTTATAAGTAAGGATATGTTTTATTATAAACATCGTTTATTAAATTTTACAATTTTTTTTTCTTTTATAAGACATTAAATACCCATATTGAAAAATAATAATATTACAGAATCTGTAAGAATTAACAGTAAAAGGTATGTCTAAATGATATTACATCTATTCTATTATCTAAAATACATTTTTTATTGTAAAATAGGATAGGGATATTTGTTCTGAAGAAACATTGTTACCACATGATTATTACTTTTAATTTGTATTATTGATGACTTAACTGTTAAGGCTTTACAGTTCTGTATTGAATAAAACTTCCTTATGATTAAAAGCTTTACAACAGATTTTTAAAAAATTTATTATTTATTATTTATTTAGATGTTTATTTACTTTGGTTTTAATGAACAAAATTTAATTATTAGTTTTGATAAAGTTTCATCTTTAAAATATCCTAACTTATTTTTTGTTTTTTACATTATATAATCCTTTCTATTTGTTATGATCAAAAATTGGTACACAGGAAAAATTTAAAACTTGATAACTGTCCATAATTTTAAAATAATGTAAAGTAAATGAGAATAAATTTTTACTCGACAATTTAAATTACAATTATTATTAAATATAACCAATATTATTTTCATCAGGTGTATTAGGGATATCGAATGCATTTATTTCATCTTCGAATAACCATCTGAAATTATTTATCGGTAAATAAGAACATATTAGAAATCCGTAAAGATTATTCGCATCTATGAAAATGTGAACTGCCAGGGAGGTTGGAAGTCTCCTTTTCCGACGACAGGTCGTTAAACCTACTCACTGTCAAGATGGCTTAAATGTTTCTTTTTCCCTATCCCGCGGTAACAAGATTTAATTGTTCGGATCGAGTGGAGGAGGGATGAGTGCCGTCGGTAAGGTGACAGGCGATATACGAGTAAAACAGGACACGAATTTAACAAGGAAACAACGATTTATTAGCTATCTACATAGACGGTACAATAACTATTATCTAGGGGAAATTTTCAGTTCCTAAAACGCGGAGGGCCGAGAGAGAGTTCACAAAAATTTGTTCCATACCTCTTTACGTTGATACTGTAGTTCTCTTGGGAAAATTAATATTATACGTAAGCCAAAAAAATTCGTAAGACACAATATTTCATAGAACACCATATATATAAAAATAGGACACAGTACCCAGTAGACCCCCCTATAACGCGGTAGATACGTTCCTCGTTATACCAATTTTGCGTTGTAGAATCCTTAAATACATAAGCCAATCACAGCCCGACACGTGTGAACTTTACGGACAACGGCAGTTTGAAAGGTTTTCTTCCATAAAATTAATCGATTCTAGACTAATTCGACTTATTGAATATGCGATATCTTAAATTGTTTACATATACTTTCTTCTAATGTTAGCTCAACAAACTTTTATTCACATCCGACTACTCATTGGCATGGTGATCCGCCAACGAATCAAATTTCGCGAGAAGAGGACCAAATATTTAATCTGGGCATCTCGGAAAACCACTTAATACATACTTTGTGCTGACAGGTAACATTGTATTATATACAGTAATTTTCCTATTCGAATGTTACCATACCATTGGGTCCAATTGGAAGACAGGAGAGTTCCAAAAAGAGATTGAAGTTAATTCGACCAAAATAGTCGTTAGCCTCTTCCTGGAATAGAGGAGGGTCAAGGACTACTATTTAATGCTGTTATGCTATTTAAACCTTCGTGGCCACGCTCGAGAGTGCCTCGAGCAGATTCTATATCGTTACGAAAAACCGAGTTTTTAGACCCTCCAGGGAAAAACAAAATTTTTTGGACGTTTTTTGTCTCCAAATTTTTTCAAAAATTTTTTCCCGCGCGAAAAAATTTTATCGCGATTTTAATCTCCCTTTAATGACGTGCTTNATTATATAATCCTTTCTATTTGTTATGATCAAAAATTGGTACACAGGAAAAATTTAAAACTTGATAACTGTCCATAATTTTAAAATAATGTAAAGTAAATGAGAATAAATTTTTACTCGACAATTTAAATTACAATTATTATTAAATATAACCAATATTATTTTCATCAGGTGTATTAGGGATATCGAATGCATTTATTTCATCTTCGAATAACCATCTGAAATTATTTATCGGTAAATAAGAACATATTAGAAATCCGTAAAGATTATTCGCATCTATGAAAATGTGAACTGCCAGGGAGGTTGGAAGTCTCCTTTTCCGACGACAGGTCGTTAAACCTACTCACTGTCAAGATGGCTTAAATGTTTCTTTTTCCCTATCCCGCGGTAACAAGATTTAATTGTTCGGATCGAGTGGAGGAGGGATGAGTGCCGTCGGTAAGGTGACAGGCGATATACGAGTAAAACAGGACACGAATTTAACAAGGAAACAACGATTTATTAGCTATCTACATAGACGGTACAATAACTATTATCTAGGGGAAATTTTCAGTTCCTAAAACGCGGAGGGCCGAGAGAGAGTTCACAAAAATTTGTTCCATACCTCTTTACGTTGATACTGTAG